TCAAATCAGTATTCTTAGATTGACTTAACAAGGCATGGTATTCCATCAACGGTCCTTCGAGATTCGGCAAACTAAACCTTGACGCATTCCCCGCTTCAGTTTAATTATAGCAACTTTCGGCGATGGCTAGAAAAGAGACTGTGTTGAGCAATGGGTACGACTCAGTAACTGACACCAACGTCACAATAGTTGATTTCCACTGGGACTCTAACGAAACAGTAGCCACGGTATGATGATGCTGAAGATGAAGGTCAGGTAGGAAACTCAGAAATTGCCCTACTAAACATACAGAATAGTCATAAACAGCAAGAACCAGAAGTCCTTGTTGGTGCGCCGACCTTGCTTACGATGGAAGGTGCTTTGGTGTTCGAATGCATAGTCATCATCACCGAGGAAAACGAAGACCCAGCTAGAAATGAGTATTGGTCATTTTAGATATCCGATCTGTACCCACCCATCAAAGGTTATAAACATACTGAAATACAACGCCAGTCCTGTGGAACATAAGCAGAAAATGAATCAGAGAAGGGACGGGAAGGAGAAAAGGTGGCTCTCACCATCCAATGAACCGATGGTGGCGCTCGAACACGCTGACAGATAATTAATAATTAGAAGGTGTAACGACATCAAACTGAAGCCCTTACTTATGAGAGTATTTCCTCACCAGGGCATAGCGGACAGCATGGCAAAACCAACCGCCAAATTCGTCAAAACGCCAAATGCGAGAATGGCGCCGTTGAGACTGAGGCGCTCATGGAAGATCAAGCTGCACTTGAAGATCAACCACATAACGGCCGAAATGGCGCATCCAGAATGAATCCCGCCGACATGTTGTAACGCCGACGAGATGCCAAGGCGGAACCACAGCGGTGGCCACTAAGGAGGCTATTAGCAACGTTCATTTCATGAGGGATAGATCGGCCGTACTTTTGCAAACGCGCTGCACAGGACAAGATATAGAAACCTAGTGAACAGTTCCGTCCGTACCAAAACAGAAAACAAGAGATTCCCAAGGATCCAGGCGCCCGTGTAGTTACGAGGATATTCCCAAGCATGAGTAGCAGCGCAAATGAGCGAAATGAAGTTGAACAAAAAAGCGACGGTGAAAAAGCGCCTGCAAGGGAAACCTGAGTTTAGATTACGAGATTTTTTTTTTTGCCACCCACCGATATGTATTATACCACAACCGGAATTTGACCCAACTGCTAACCCGTTTTTTGGTCTGTCTGCGAATGAGGGCCAGCTCATTCGGCGACAGTTCTTTCGACGGAAGTGTAAGAGCGATCGTTTCGAACTTGGCGTGAGGTAGAGGGGGAAGAGGTAAGCACGGATGTGGCAGAGGACCCTTACTACAGGAGTCCTGACTGACTATAGATGGTCGTGAACTCTGGAGAGTAAGGGGAACTGCATAACACTCCTCTGCGATGCCCTTCTCAGCATCGTCGACGGAACAATCGGACGGCATGAAGCTAAAGAATGTGGTTGGAAAGAAAGTGAATGAATATGACCCTTGGTTCGACGTCCGATTTAAATAACGTCGTCATTTTCCGGTTAAAGTGGTCTGTCAGGGACAATTACGAAGTATTGGGAAACAGCCCTTTACATCTGTCACTCCAGACTCGGCGTCCAGACCAATTTTCCCACGTGGACGGCGCTCTTTAGAGGATTGTTATCGGCGTTTCTATGGTTATTTGGTTGTTAGACCACCGAGGCTACCGATGTAATCGAGGAAAACAGGATGGTACAGTAATGATCGTTCGCTGAAGATTAGACTGAGATTGTTTTTCATTGTTGTATTAGTGGGCATCCGACAGCCACGCGTTCGACCTTCAGCTTCAGTTATCACCGTATACTTTTTCCTTAGCTATCGATACTATTCTTTGTAAACCTTGATTGATGTACCGACGGCCGTCAGTAGTCGCAACAAAAACATCCGAAAGAGTGGAAGCAACTTGAATCAGATCAGGTCCACAGGCACATGAAGAGACACTTATTGCTCCGAAAATGATTTCTATAGCGAACGAAATGGAGGCCGATCCGCTGAAAGTCGGCGATAACCAAAAAATGGTTCGGGTCCGCCAACAGATTGTCGGATAGCTGGTATGCTGTGTATTACACATGTATACACAGGTACTGAAGGAACTGCGGGACTGCAACTCACCGAATATATTCCAAGAGTATGGACGGCCCATTGCTTACTGTAGAGGAAACATGCGAGGTCGACAAGTGGAACTCCTGAGCGAACTTCGGATCTGAGATCTGCAGTTCAATCCGGCTTTACCGGGCCGGGTCGGGCTCTTGACCTGTTCTCAACCATTATCATGCCAAGTTTTTCGCAAGAACAGCAGTCCTGAGAAATCCCTCGATTTTGGTCCTCGATGGATAATACAGTTGGGTAACTCTTGCGTCTAATATGAGGGTGGAGCCGTACGCCTATTCATGGTATCTTTCGTCATCTATCGGCATACTTAGGCTATGTTACCATTTCTTCTCTGGGGCTCTCGGAGCTTAGCTGTTCCTCTTGGTCCGATAGTTCTCACGCGATAAAGTTACTTGGCGTGGCTCTTCTTACAATGTGCTGTAGCTCCCGGGAAGCTCGATTAATTTTCACAGCCCATAACATCCGGTATAAAGACTGCCTTCATCTGTATTCACATCGATATTCTTTTTCTCTTCTCCTGCCATGGCGGTAGTACATCGGACCAAAAGCGAAGAGATAGCCCTTGGAATGACCCTTCTTGGTTCAATCTTCTCCTCAATGTAGGTCCTCGACCTCACAACTATGCACCTCACATCTAATACTATCCAGCCTGTATGGAATCTCCCTGTCCCAGACATACACGTATTATAAGCGTTTCCCCAAGGATGCCTTGTCGATTAAGTACATGGTAAGACTTTGTGTATGTCCATCATCCGTTCCTGGTTCACAGTAAATGTGTAGGTTGTTATCATGACGTATGTCAACAATTTTTTAACATCGTATTCTTTGTCCATCTAACAAGCGCAAAGGATTATCGATGCAGCATCTGTCGTTTTCATGGCTCACGCCTGTTGGTAAGTCTTAACTAACTACTGTCTTTCAATATGCACCTAAATAAACTGTAGGTATTATTTCGTGACTACGGGACCTTTCCATCTTTATGTCTGGTCTGTGGATATTAGATCCGTCCCATTTCTCTTACTTAATTCAATGGTTAGGAGCCTCAATGTAAGAGTAGTCACCCGATGCTCAAATCAGTTTTTCATTCTTCAAGTTCAGGCAGAACTTGCATTTTCTGTGCGTCACTTTATTTTTGCAACTTGGGGGATAGTCGCTGACGCTTCGAAGATGTTGATATCAGGTCTTTCAGAAGGGTACGCCTTAAATGCTGCCGTGACTACACACGTCATTGATGAATGGCGACAACAGATTCCTTGCATATCGTGTCTGGTTACGTCAGTCTTCGCCAAAAAACCCCGAGATCCTGAATTTACTGAGATCTTAACTATTATAGTAAGCGGGCGCCGGACGCTCTTGACATTGGTTTTGGTGAGCTTTCTGCCAGGTGATTGTGATTGTGACTAGAACCTACCTCAAACAGCTTTGTTTGGCCCTCGTGCACTTAGGTACGCTGTTGACGCTTGCGATGAGTAAAATGCTAAGTTGCATACAGTAAGCGGCGAAGGTGCGCCCCGGATTTAACAGCTTAATTCCCACCAACCATTGCATGCGCACAGTCGCAGCGGGTCAATCTTTAGCTTTGCACCAGCTTGCGAGATTCGGTAGCGTGAAGGTATTTGAAAGCAACGCTCGGCATCCTGTTAACTGACACTTGTCCGGAAGGTACCACATGTTATACGCCTTGGAAGCGCCGCTCTCTGCGACACCAGTTTGGCAATCTCATTATGCTACTTTTTGCATCAGAAACGCACGGGTTACAAGCAGTAATTAAAATGCTAGCTTCCGCCGACCTTCATTCATGCCCTTCCAGAACGGACGAGATCATCGATCGTTTAATGATATTTTCTATTAACACCGGGCTGCTAACAAGGTAGCAATCGAAAGCTGCTATGCCGTTTCATCGCCCTGACTATATGATACCCCTTAGCTTTGCTTCAGTGGCCGGCCTTATCACGGTGAGCTCGTCTACCACAACTTCGCACTAATCACGGAACTCTATAACAAAATGCATGCAGTACCTTGTGGTTCCCAAGACATGGGTTTATCTCGCTCTGTGTTTCTTGATCAGTCGGCGTGCGTACATCATTTTTCCGTTCGGAGAAAATTAACCGTTGAGTGTAGTATATGCAAATACTTTTCTGTCCTCGTAAGTTGACATTTTTCCAAAAGGCCAGCAATTTTTTTTTTACTTACTAAAATCAGTTTGAACACTCGGCATATACTACGAACAGCCTCAGATGAGGCAGAAGAATCGCCGGCTATGCCACGGTTTCGCTCGCGCATTTCTCCACGGGCTTTGCTTGCCAGGGAAAAGGTATGCCAGAGCCCTGGTTCTGCGATTAACACTACTCACTCCGTCCTCATCGTTTGTATAGCCGCCTACTCAACTTGATATATTTATAGTGACTGAGACGATTAGTGATGCCTCTAAGGTAAGCCCAGGAAATTACTTGGCCTCGATGGTCGAGACATTGATAAAACTTTACCAGGATGGGGGCCTGGAATACCAAGGCTCCATGCCAAATGCTAGTTGCTCCGCAAGCTTGAATCATTATTGACTTGATTGTATAACCAGAAGTGCAGATCCGTAGTTTACCCGAATATCACATGCGTTAATGACCACTTTCCGAGGATTTCTGCTCACTACGAAAAAGGCTCGGTAAAGCGTTGTTAGGAACAAAGCGCCGTGTAAGGAACGGTCACGTGCCTAACGAGTGAGGAAACCAAGAGTTCCTGAAGCCTTAAAAGGCGCCAAAGGCGCCATAGGTCCTCGTGGAACCGTACTTAGTCGGTGTGGTATGTGAGCTCCCAATTCTGAATCATTCCGAATGTTTAGGCCAGATAAGTTCCAGCGTACACAATGAACATCGCTGCAAGTTCGAAACTGTTGAACTCTACTTGTCTCTCATGGATGGATATGGTTTTTTCGGTGGGCTTGCTGTCGCACATCGTTTTTTCTTTTTTCGGAAGACAGACTTCGGGGAATTCTCATTAGCCACAGCTGAACGGGATGTAGAATTATTGCTTCTCTCGGGTGGATAACATATAAAACGATAAGTACTATTCCACAATTTTGAATTGAATTGAACATAAGGGAGGATGTATGGGCTACATAACAAGAACAGAGCGTGTCAACAATGCAGGGTAATCGTAAACAAGGAAAGCGGATAACAGGGTTGGAAAGCAAGGCAGGTAGCAGTGGACAGCGGCAGGTTCCAGGAGGTTAAGAATTACGAGTATTCATAAAGAATTAACTGAACGGGAAGAAAGAACGTTAACGTCGGATCGTGGGAGGTTCTTGTCAAACAGCTGAGAGGGATGCATGATGAAGGATGGAAAGGTCATAATCAACGCAAACTGGAGCTAGAGAGTCTCTCCGCAAGTGCTTGCACCAAATTGGCTTCAACACCAAACTCTCGAGCAAGGTCGTCGATCTGACCATCACTTTGGACTGCAACGAGCTGTCCATCTTCACTTGGCAGTGATGCAGGGCGCTCATCGTTAGAATTCGCGGCAGAGGGTGAAGCAATAGTGATGCTACTTGGGGTACGGTAACCTCTTTCGGCTTCGCCGTCTTCGTCTTCGATATCAGCGTCTGAGTTATACGAGGACAAGGAGTTGCATTCAGACGTTGAGGACACCTGAACTTCAAGCGCTTCAGATATTTTGCTTATCTGTTGCGATGTGAAGGCTGCGAAAGTGTCAAATGAATCGTCAAACGTATTAGATAACAACCGTACCTTGACAAGACGTGGCAGTTTTAACGACTTGTTCCAGCAAGACGGCACTCGACTCTATAGGGGCATCTTTATCTTGAAGGTCTTCCTTCTCTTGTACGATGCGGCTTAATAAGACTTGTACGGCAGCTACAGAAGGGAACATCAAAAAAGACAGGCAAAGACACTTATCGGCATCGTCACTTACAATAGGTGACATCTGAAACAAGGCGTTAGAAACTGGGTGTTGATAATAGGTAAGAATATCTTACCATATAACATGTCCCTCAGTCCTACTGACCAGAAGACGCGGCTGTCGACATCGGCAGGGAATTTACTGAGGACGCTAATAAGCGAGTGGAAGGGCAAGGAGGGCACTTTTAGGAAGTGTGCCTAAATGCCATGTTAGCAGCTACGTTCATGCAGGTACAAGAAAATTATTACATCTGGGGACCGAATGAGGTACAAGAGGGCAGAGACTTCAGCGTCCGTCATAAGCCCATATTCCAAGGCACTGATGACACGGTCATTATTCAATCCCGCAAGTGATGGATGAGAACCATCGAATGCACCGCGCCACGATGGGAA